TTGTATTTAGGTAAAACCAATAAAAATTAGTGAAAAATTCACTTGTGCTCTTATTTTAACTTTTTTTTTTAATACCTGCAAACAATGGCAAACCTTCGAGTGTACTTCTGAAATAAGAAAGCTTCTTCGGAGAAAGAGTAAAAGTCACAACATCAAATAGCAGAACACGAAATGGAGGAGAAGCTCGGGCAATCACGTAGAAAACGTTTAAGCGCCAAACATTCATTTATTGGAATCAAATATCATATCGATACCTGAGTAACCGACCTATATCGGAAGCCAGTTCAAAGCACCCTATCTCAGAAAATTTTGCAAGAACGACCTAATAATAAGAAATACAAATTTTTCTTTGTATGGCAGATGAGCCCCTCTAATGTCCACATACAATTTACTTCAAACAAAGTTAAATAAGTCTTTCTTAACTGATAGTTTACAATTGACCTAAAACAATTCACAGCTTCACATTCTGACATTTCATCTCAACGAACTGTCATCTTCTATGCCCCTACTCATTTTAGAGTGTACTTACGTCGTGTATCGTAGTTTAAGCTTCAGCATCAACAGAATCACAAGTCAATTCAATCGATCAAATAATTAAAATACAACTTAGAAAATCCACTGTTTTAAAATAAAGAAAAACATAATTTAAAGTCAATTACAATAAAAATAGAATTACATTTTAATTTAATGTACTTTGAAAAGTCCATAACAAAAATTTAAAACGTAATTATGAATAAACTGCTGGTCCATTTCTTGGTGGTGACAGTTCTCGTATATAAAGGTACATTTTCAACCCATAAAACTTTAACCACGATTGGTGTAAGAACAAGCTAATGTGATCAAGATTTATAACTATTTGTCTCTCTTTATATTTAACTTTATTTTGTTTGATAAAATAGTAATAAAATAAAGTACACAAAATATATTCTCATTATATAAGTGCGATTCTGTTCTGCGCAAGTCATTAAATACTCTATAGAATAGTCGCCCTTCACCACCAAAACTTTAAACTACATCTGTATAATGCATGCAATGAATGTGTGTGTGTGTATGTAGGTCAAAGTTTACAACTCAAATCCTGCAGAAGAAAAGAAAAAAAAAAAAAACAAAACAAAAAAGCAAAATGTTTGTATGACAACAAAGGTTCAGCTTTCGCGTATATCCTTCTGTATGTACGTTTATTTACTCTTAGTAATGTATTTAGTTGAAAATATTAAGAACATTTGAATATGAAATATTTTTCATCAAACCAGGTAGTAAATTTTTTGAATAATATACAATTTGCATTCATTTTCAAGTTATTTCCGTACCAACACAAGCGCAAACAGAGGTTCCTCAAGATGACGAAGATGAAGATTGGGATGAAGACGATGACTCGTCTGAGGTAGACGACGATGGACGAGTTTATAAGAATCCTAGAAACTCGCCATCAACTGAATGTCCACGTGATGAAGAGCAGGCAACACTACTTGGACAAAAATGTTTGAGAAAATGTTCCTCGGATGAGGATTGTAAAAGTAAAAAGAAGAAGTGCCTATGTGATGGTGTATGTGGAATGTCTTGTATTAAGCCAGGTGAGCAATGACTCGCTTACTTCAGCTTTATTTATTATTAAAGGTGCACCTAAGCTGAAAAAAAAGTTTCTAAAAACTCGAAAGCATCAAGATTTGAACGGTATTGTCAAATGTACGCTCGAATTTCGAGCTTTCCAGTTTTTCGAGTTAAAGGAAATTTCCATATTTAGGTGTTTCACAAGATGTCCTCGTCTGTCATAAATAGACTGCGGATTTTTATGCAAGAAACGTAAAATGTTTTAGTGGATGTTTAATTGTTTCGCAACCATATATTCACATCCAAAAACGACTTCTACCACTCTTTACAATATGCAAAGAAAATGCAAGTTATATGCAAGTTGTATGCAAGTTATATGCAAATAAAAAACAAAAAATCACGTTAACGCATGTAATTACAAGAATAAGTAAATTAAATGTATGTACGCAGTTGATGGCGTTTAGGATTTAAATGTCAAGCACAAATTTGTGAAAACAAAGTACAAAATACTACGTAAATTTAGGTGTAGTTAAGACAATCATTTTCTCTAGATTTTGAATGCAGAACTGGTGACGTTTATCGGTTAAAAAGAGTTTTTATGCGGAGAAAGAACGCTCAACATCACAAGATGTAACAGGAGCATATTTTAATTTGCTCCAAATGTGACTGGGAATTTGAATGTCCGTTGCAACTTCGTTGTTATCGCCCGATAGTATTTTTGCTACCTTTGATATGTCCTCGAAGCGGGGTTCCTTTTTAAAATTGCACCAATTTTAGCCGACACTATCTGCCCATATGGTCCAAGCGTAGCTTGCAGTCCTTCAAATGTCCTTGTTACCATGGTCATGGATTCTGTCAGAAGGACTTCTCGAGATTCCAATTTTTTTATGCAATTTGGCAAACTTCCAAAATTTGTTTTAATATATATATATATATATATATTTAATATTCCTTACAATATTGATGCGCCAAAGTCCCTTACGTTTAAAAAAAAAAAATGCAAGTAATATGCAAATATGCTAGTAATATGCAATATGCAATTTATATGCAATATGCAAAATATGCAAGAATAAATGTTCGACTTCATAATTTTTTATCAACAAAATGCATTTCCAAAATTAAAATTGAACTCTGATTTTTAAGATTTATCGAATCCTAAATAATATAAACTTATTATTTGTTCGATGGATCAAACCGGATTTTTAATCACGTAGCCCTGGCTGTAAATTCTATATAGACGACAAGCTACACCATCTTTAATGCCATGCGAAATACTTCTTTAACTCGATTAACTAACTTTAATAACTTTATACTAAGTCAGCGCTGTCGGGCAAACTATCCTTACAAATACGCCCCTATTTTTTGTGTCGTTTGTTAAGCTATTAAGCTATGAAGTTAAGATAGGACAGGTTGACGGCTATCGACCAGTTGAAATGAATTAACTCGGGGCCCTTTTAACCATTATATAATTTACGACTTATGAAGCTCGTCGTGAAGCACCCAACTATTTGATTATTTGATAATTTAAATAACAATTGATACTTTTACAGATAGAGAATGTCCCGAATTGGCACAACCATCACTGGGTCAGGTATCTGTTGCAGGCAGACATTTTAGCGCTCGTGCTACATACTCATGCCCTCATGGTTATCATGTTGTTGGCCTGCAGAGTCGTCTCTGTCAAGCAGATGGCAATTGGGCTGGAGCCGAACCGGCATGCAAGCAAAATAGTAAGTGAAATAGATTTGACACTGAATTTCACGCAAAGTATACATGTATTTTGAAATTAAACTCGCAGTCTGCGAACATATATTCTAATCCAAGATCCACTAATTGGATACTGAATTTGCCTCCGAAATCAAATTTAAAAAAAGTTTTTCCATTTTAAAACATATATAAATACACAATGAGAGTATTATGGCTCCAAGATTACAGTGAAATACCAGGTACAGTCAGTCAATAAAGTTTAGGTACAGCGAATTTTTTACAATACGAACAACTATTTTTTAAATATTTTATTTCTCGCTAACTTTTTTTTTTCTACAACAAAAACCTCAAAAAACAGAGTTCCAATCCTTGTGCAGAATTAAAGAAAATTTATTCAAATATTGCACTTTTTATTTACGCTCTCTAGAAAAAAGTGCAGTTTTTTAGCCCTTTCAATTCTAGTATAATAAAGTGCAAGTATACGGAAGCTAGGACTTACCATTGATTTTTGGCAAATTTTTTTGTTGAAGGTGTCGCACATTTTTTCCAAATAAAAAAATTATCGAACATTATTTTATATGAAGAAAATGAGCGACACCTTCAAAAAAAAATGCTAAAAATCAATGACAAGTCCTAGCTACCTCAAAGTTTCACTTTGTTGTATTAAAATTGAATGGGCTAAAAACTGCGTACTCAGATTTTTTCTAAAGAGTGTAAATAAAAAGTGCAATATTTGGATGAAAATTTGCAGAATTTTATTTAATTTTGCATAAGGTTTAGAACTCTTATTTTTGAAGTTTTTGTTGTAGAATTAACCATATTTTTATAAAAAAATTTACGAAAAATAAAATATTTAAAAAATAGTTTACAGTATTGTAAAAAATTGTACTACCTAAACTTTATTGACGGCTGTACCTGAACTTTATTGACTGACTGTATGTATGTATATCCGAAGCTCACAAACTACCATTAACACCTCCAACGAAGCGGGAGATATACATACGTACAAATGTATTAAGTATCTGTGAAGTAGAGATGGGCACGGGCCTAAATAGTAGGGCCCGGCCCGCCACGACGGGACACGCCCCAGCCCGGAAATAAAGAGCCAACTTTTATTGTATGTACATATTTTGAATTTCGTGTTTATGTACATACATATGTATATTTACTTAAGCGAATCAATTTTTTACATCAAAGATTTTTATAATATATTTTCTGGGAAGTAGAAAAAGTGGAAGGTAATTTATGTACAGATATGTAAACAAAACTACGAAGTATCTTATTTTTTCTATCGGTTTCCAAATATTTCTTCTTTGCTTTTCTGTTATCAAAAGAGTTTTAAATACATATCGTCACTAGACACGAATAAGGGCGCGAGCGCATATGTTGACGGCGAAAAAAGACGCATCAAAAAACTTAAGCGTCAAAAACTCTTAACATACTTCGCCGAAGTTTTTCATAAGCATATATTTTCGCAAACTTTTTTAACGCGTCTTTTTTCGCCGGCAAAACACTATAGCGCCTTTATTCCTGTGTAGTGACGATATGTACTTTTTTTTTTTGTATAAAAACAAAAGCTCATCTAAATTTGTAGTACTAGCAACGGGCTTTTTCGTGCTTATTCGTGCTTTTATGAAATTTTCCTGAACGCCCATGCACGCACGAGTTCGTGTTGACAGCGAATATTCCGGTCCGTACACGCGGTCTCACGCAGGGGCCCGTCGTGCCCCGGCCCAAAGCCCGGCCCGTGCCCATCTCTACTGTGAAGTAAACATACCGCCAACGCCTGGAACGGCCCTATCTGCCTTCAATACTTTCCACGACGCGAGTATGCCGCTTTCGGTTTAGAAAATCCTTATAAGAGTTCCTAGTAAAATCGCAAACCTTACCAGTTGGTTAAAGGCCATTATACCTTTTTGAAAACCAGAAAAGTGATTAGAGGAATAAACAAGCAATTTTTAACCAAAAAACTAAACCGACTTCAATTCTCATATAAAAATTTAGGATTATCGTTAATTTCTTCATGATCCAATGATCGGATTTAAACGAAATTAAAATGAGGCCACCTGTGAGGTAACATCTTTCCTTTAAAAAAAGGATTATAGAAATCGGTTAATGTGGTCCAAAGTTATGCATACATATGCATATACAAAAAAAAATAAATATATTCCGACGAGCTGATAGCCTTCTCCTTTTTGTGAAGTCGGTTAAAAAGACCTATGTATTTATATTTTTTGGCGGAAATGAAAATGTGTGTAACTTAACAGTAGTAACATTTCGTAAATTCTATAATCTGGGAGGAGCTATATTTACGGGGCAATTCTGGCAACTGTCTTGAAAGCTCTTTTCTGTCTTTCGAAAGACTGATTACAAGATCTGCTAAGAAATATATCTTTGTTTATTTTTTTTTAAACAATAAAAACTAAAAACTAAATCAAAAAAGTAAAAAAACGGCCTTATTCATAAAAAATAAAATAGGTTTATATAGAGTTTTTCGATCTATAGAGAAGTTATAGTTTTCTTTATTTTTTATGAATTTGGGTGTAAGTCTTTAAAAATGTAAGTGAGATTAAAAAAAATATATATTTTTTTAAATAGTAAAACAAAAATTAAAATAAAAAACAAAAAAATCAAATAAGTTCCTAAAAATTAAATGAAATTAAAAAAAAAATTATTTTCTTTTTAAAATAAAACTTTACTTTAACAGCCTACTGCATTTCAAATTAGTTGTTTTGGAGCTAAACAAAATTTTTATATCCACAGCAGTGTTGCCAGAACTTTTTGGGGTGACCGGCTAGATTGGACAAAAAAACGGCTAAAAACGGCTAAAATGTTTCAACTAGAATTAACTTTTTCTTAATACATAAATTACAATTAGAAAGACTAGTAAATCCATTAAATTTTTTTTTGCTAACAAAGATTATTCCTAGCTAAGCTGTACACCACTTTATTTAACAAAGGAAATGTTCATGTTTGTATTACTTAAATATAAAAACAGAGATAAATTACAAACTTATGGCAATTTCTTTTCTATTAAACAATTTTGCCTTCTTATAAATATTGTAACATTTGCAGTAGGTTGCTGTTTGTCCCGCAAAATGACTATATTAGCAAAAAGTATGGCACTTTTGCTTAGGCGGAGGGCAATATATTGAGAATTTAACACGTAAAGTTGTGAAAGGGCTGAGGAAAACAGAGCAACATTATTTCGAGAAAAATGCCATGATACAAACACAGAAGGTAGTTTAATATATTAACATTCGCTATTGTTGCCGAACTTTTAACAAGTTTATGACATTTAACTAAAATCATGCCACCAGATTCACTAGTAGACAAAATTTTGATTCTTGTAAAAGTAAAAAAAAATAAGTTAGTGAAGTTGGATGAAAATATTAAAAGTGTTGCGCGTTTCCAAACTGTCAGAATTCGGTACACCTGAGTAAAGATTCGAAAATAAAGTTCTTTGCCTTTCCGAGGTTAGGTTACGTAATACGTGCAGTTCGACGACAAATTGCTGACGCAAAATATTTTTTAACCTCTAAAAGATGTACCGTTATCCATGGAACAGGAAGGAGGTCGAGTTAAAATGATGGCCTGCAACTTGTAACAGTACCAATTTTTGGATTCTCGGAATTTTCTGATAAAGATGTGGTGCTGCTAAAAAATTTTTATTCATAAATATTAGCACGAAACTATGTATTTGTGACAAGAATTATCCACATAAGATGAAAACTATTGCAGTTTCATTTTATAAAATTTTTGTTTATAGAAAAATGCATAAGTAAGACAGTTTGGGTACGGTTCGGTTATTTGTACAATGATTTTGGGTTATCGTGTCCAAACACGTGACCCGAATAAATAAAAATTTTACATATACGTCTAGCAAAGGGATTAAGCTTTCATTTAAAACAAAGATTTCGGTTTGAAATATGCGCATTTATTGTAAATTTGGAGGTGGATTTTGCGCAAAAATACTGTGGATGGCGTAACCGGAGTTGGACTGATGAGGTTATTTCTTCTAGTGCGGCTGAAGGCCACCAACTCAGCAAAATTTGCAACTTTCTAATCAGCTAAAATGGCGCGTCCCAGTTTATATGTAATTGTGTCACATTATAATCGGCTCACTATCTGAAGACTTTTCGGGTTAGAAAAAATTGTTTTTCAATTTTATATAACACAGCCCGACAGAAAAAAAAAATTCTCAGGGATAAGACTAGCCATTTCTAATAGATTTTGGATCACTAAATTTGTAAAAATAAAAACTTGTATATTTGAATTTTAATAAAATAAGGCGAATAGCAAATAGCAAAATCGGCTAAAACCGGCTAATTTTTTTTTGCAAAACGGCTAACAAATCGGCTGCCGGCTAAACCGAATTTTCTTCAGCTGTTTGCTATCGTAACCGGCTAAATCTAGCCGGAAAACGGCTAAAATGGCAACACGGATCCACAGCATACAAATCATATCTAAAAACATAAATGGAAGATATAATGCACCAATCTAAGTGATTTTCACTGTTGTTGCGATCGGTAACACAATATAATGCGCTTAGATGCCTAAATAAAGGAGTTATATCGCAAAATCTTGTATTTGAACAATCAGTGGTATAGGACATATATGTAGATAATACAGCACCGATCTTGACGAAACTATCTCACGAAATTCTGTCAAAATAAAAGAGTTTTAAAGTAAAACCCCATATCTGAACAATCAGTTGTATGGGGGCTATAGGTTATAGTGGCCCGATCTTTGTCATTTTCACTGTTAGTATACTGTTGATAATGGGTGAAAATAGGGCGGAATTTCATGTTCCTAGCTGTATAAATGGAGGAGTTATTATAAAAAAATCTCATATCTGAACTATCGGTTGTATGGCACCTATATGTTGTAGTGACCCGATCTTTGTAATTTTCACTGCAAGTATTCTGTTGATAACGAGCTATATGTTATAGTGGTCTGATTTTTCCGGTTCCCACAAATGATTAATACATTATAAAAATACTTACCACATCTCATTCAGATA